GTGGTGGTGGCATGATACGTATCCTTTAGGCGACTGTTTATGATATTTCTGAGTATGGTTTTTGATAAGCAGCTTAGGACAATGTGAGACCGAGCTGATAAGATTAGAGAGAATCTAAATCTAGAATGTATTTTTGGATTTCCATGGAAAAGAAGTGCTAGGGTGGACCATACATGCCAGAAGTGCATTATCGTTCACGTGAGTATTGATGAAGTATGATAGATGCGACATCAAGTGCTGTGACATGATTCAGTGAATCGTGTTTCATGTACAATCGACCAACCTACTTCTTAGTACATGATCACGTATACATGTGGAAACTTAACGTATTTTGGGGCTTGAGGACTGCTTAACACTTATGAACCCCGGTTCTCTACACTACTTGGCAAGGTATGTGGAGAATGGCTGAAATACTTCTGATCCACTTCACGGAAGATTGTCTTGTAGGGTTAATTCTTGGCTATAGTTTACTGAGACATATAAGCCTCAAGGTCATGTATTGCTTTGGGGGCATAGAGAGCGACAGGACCGGTCCCAGACATCAATTAGGTAACCCCTTTTCTCGCACAGTCAACTCAGCCGGCCAATTTGTGTTCAACACACTTCCGATTGCATCAAACTCTTGCTGCCAGCCGCTAGGGTCAGGCGGCACCGATCCATTGGGGTCATAATTAACGGATTCTGCATCCACCTGCACTTCGTTACCCAGACTCATCGTACCTTCAGCAATGGCGTTGCCAAGGTTGTTCAGTAAGCCTGGACCCTCTGTCCAAGCATTCAATGGATCTTCCCACACCTTCACCCGCAGATTTTGCGAGCCTTTGCGAAAGAAGAATTTATCAGGCAGAGGCTCATGGATTGGCTGCATAGCTGCTTCAGGATAATCTATTAAACCTAGAATAAGCCCGTGATCTAGATTATCTTTGATCTTGTCTTTGGTTGCTTGATCAAAATGAACACTGTCTGCCGTGAGCGACGCGTTGGGGGCGCGGAGCATCATGTGGCTGATGTGAGCTTGATTTTCAGTCCCGTAAAGGTAGAATGGTGTGAAGCTCTGAGGATAATCATGATCCCGATGCTGTAGGTTGAGAGGTCGGCTCTTCACAATTCTTTTCAGTGTCACACCCGTATACAGCCTCCTACCCTAATGTTAGCTTCTTGGATCCTGGGAATAATCAAGTGGGGCGATATACCTGTGTCCATCTGCGTAAATATGTCCGAGGAAGAACAATCGACGATCTAGCTTTTCCGGACAGTCGTGGAAGTGTGGAAAATAGGAAAGAGTTTCTTCTTCAGGAACTTCCGGCTCTGCTTCGCCTATATTGTGATCCTCATCTTTATCCTGACCTTCTTTCTTCCCCTTTTCTGTCATCAGTGGCCTTGAACTCTTCCATGCCAATAGTTTCAACTTCTTTTCAAGGTTGATGTTGTGATGTGACTCCAAGGTTATCTGCTTGTATTTCCCGCTTCTTTTCAAGCTCACGTAATCGTCTTTGTGCCAAATATCAGCGGTCACAATGATTTGCTCCTTCTTAGTCGCTTCATGGAATGAGGGCTGGTAAACCAGGAATACCTCATCCGTACCCTGCATAAGGAACGATGCCTGCTGACGGCCCTGTTTGTTGCGTTCCCGACTGACAATCACCTCTTGCATAACAACTTTCTTGAACTCTCGCATCAACTCATCGATGAATTTCATATCCGTAGGAAAGGGGCTCATGACGACGTTTCGCAAGACAAACAGATTTTGTGGCATCTTCTTCACTCCTAGTCGGTGCATAAATTCTTGTGCGCATTCGCCGTACAACTCAGGCTCGAATTCCGTCGAGGTCAGGTATAGCGGTCGCGTGGTCGGATTACTATCTGAGGAATTAACAGAGAACCTGTCAACAACCCTCTTCATGAGATTGTTTGCTTCTTCCAGGTCCTCGTTTAGTTTTCCATACTCATCAAACCAGTTCAGAGCAAAGGCGTTGATGTTCAAATCTGATCCCAACTCGCGGAGCAATTCCATCAGCTTTCCATCCTCGTCTGCTGCAGCAATATCGTCATTTGACTTTCTCAAAATCTTGTCTCGAATGAGGTCCCTTTCTTTTCTTGCTTCTGTGGAGAAGTAACCATTTCCATTCTCTGCGGGCGGTCGATTCAAGGGAACGCAGATAAACATCCTATCAGGGGTGTCATTTTCATCTCCTATCGCGGCCCAGTACGCTGATAACTAGATTGTGGTTATTAGCCGAAGGTCCTGGCCCCTACTTGAGGTTAAATTACTTACTCTAGCACTGGTAAATGCCGCCTCTCCAAGGAGTGCTCCATAGCCGTATTGATCGAGACCGATGGTTTTGTTTGAGAGCCACGTCGACATTGCTGCAGCTCCTGGCTTACTGCGCGAACATTAGTCTCATAGGAAAGCCGACACGACTCAGCGCTGCAAAGCTTTACTCACCTTCCCTCAACGCCGAAGATTCCCATACTGGAGTCTACATTTCCTTGGGAAAGGTAAGGGCTGGTCCAAGTAACCAAAAACCTCATTCGGCCGTCCCGGTACACCAAGCTGCCTGCCGGGTATGGAACGTAACCGGCTTTGTGTGGGTCAACTGTAATAGAGTCCACGTGTTTGAGGGCTTTGAGGTCCTCAGCTGTTTGCCTTTTTAGGGTCAAACTTGGAACGAAACCTTTGGAAGTCGTTTGGCTCTTAAGATCTTCAGCTTGTTGCTCTAGCTCTTTACCTCTCGGCAGCATGGTGGCGAAATACCCACCCCATGCCGCATCGGCGTGGAGCAAGAATGACATTCCCATCTTCTCGAAATCATCCCTGATCTTCACAATCTCCTTCAGGTTGTCGACAGCACCTTCTTCAGTTGATCCCATGATAGCAACAACCCCATACACGGGTCGCTTTTCGTCGAAACAGGTTTGAAGTTCCTTTCGTAGTTCCTCGATGTCGAGTCTCGCCTCTAAGTCAACTTTGATTCCATACATGAAGTCGGAGCCGAGACCAGCGATTGCTATTCCATTCACAGTGAGCTCTAGCGCAATCAAAGATTGGGGCCCACTTACCGGCGCCTTTGGGCCAAGAGTAATGGCGAGTCTTTCCGACCATGTACCTGAATGGGAACTTCACGTCGTTGGTAACATCAGTTTCCAGGAAATCCTCTTCCAGTTGGCTTTTACTAATATTTTGGATATTGTAATCCACCATCACCTTGTCCAGAAAATCATTGGAGATATTATGATGATCATATAGATGCTGGGGAATGCCAAGCACGGTATCAGGCCGAAGATTTAGCAGCTCCCATGCGGTCATCTCATTAAATATCTTGGTCTCGCCCTGACAGTTCTCGATCTCGAACTTGCCAGTCAAGAACTGTAGTTTTCCTCTCTTAATAGCAAGGTAGAGCGATAATGGGTAGTATTTCAGGTTGCGGGCTGGTAATTCCTTCAGTAATCTCCCATCACGAAAGTCGCACGGGCTGCCTATACTTACCCACCCAGATAGACTCTAAATTGGCGATTGTCCCATCAGCAGTGATGTGACCCCATCCCCGGGGCGAAGCATTGGGGCCAACGTCGTACCCAAACATCTCGCAAAGCTGCTCTCCGGCTTTAATCTCCGCGTAGGTCGTGAAAGGACTTGCTTCTAGAGCAACATTGTTCGGGTTGTACAGCATAGTCATGAAATAGCCCAGAAGAGCTGGCATGGTCATGTCGGTGCACATATGTCCTTCATATCTAGGTGACCAGAACGGAATTGACTGCTGTCCCATCAGGTGCGCGACTTTTTGTACCACCTCGCTGAAGTTCTTCATAATCAACTGGTACAGTTCCTTGTTCTTTACATCTTCCGGTATGAATGGCTTTAGCGTATTAGCTCCCCATTCGACAAGTCGTGTGGCCTATGCTTAGCTACTTACTTTATCATTGGGAAAGTAAGCCAATCTAGCATTCTTCAGTTCTTCCAGTATCGTTTCGATATTTCTCTGGAAGTATTCGAGGTTTCCCGCCTTAGGACCGATAAAATAAGAGCTGATAATCTGGTGATTGCGATCACGCTGCTCAGGAGTACCGGCCGACATGGTTGAGAGAAAGACCTTAGGTATAGCAGGTCAATGTAGACAGTTTTCACGATCACAAGCCTTAGCCTCTCGCGTGAAGTTTTCTTCTTTTTTTCTATCACTTTTTCCTGAATACTGAACAAACATATTTGAGTGCCAGCATCGAGCAGAGAAATCGCCAAGCTGAGGGTGAATGTAACACTGCCGACCGGAACCTGTTCTTACGTGGAGAATATCCACACTGGAATGTCACGCAGTGCACTCACAGCGTCATTAAGGCAGTGTACATTATCTCTTCGAGTAATTCAAGACCACATTCCTTCTAAAAAGCCATCTTCAGCATCATGCTCATCAAGAATATCCCTCCCCATGTCCTGACATCCCTTGTTCCGCCTTTCTGGCCCCCAATTAGCCCTAATTACATCCTACTATACGGACATGCACGTAGTTCCTGGCGCGTGCGCATGTAACCTTAATTACATATCTTAACTGGATTAAGGTTGCGGTCCTTTCCTCAGACAGAAGTGTTTTGACCTACCCTACGTCAATTTGTCTCATGGTACCGTGGAACACTGGCCAGATGAGGTAATCATGCAGCATTTACCACAATGCATAGGTGGGCGCAAATAGGAGTTTGTTTATTTTCTTCTCGATAGCCAATTTATTCCTCTGTAGTTAAGTCATGGTATCGGCATTATTTGGTCCGACCTTGCTGTGCTGTAAATGAACATTTGCGTTGTTCGCGGCAGGGCGCATCAACGCTTCCCTTCAGAAACCAGTCTCGGACTCAATATCCGTGAATTTGCCAGATAAGAATTCTTTACTCTGCTGCTTATACCCGATTGTATCACCATACCATATTAACTGAGCAGTTCTGGTCGGCTACCTGGATACTCATATCCCTAGCCAAGTCCATACGTGACACGTGACATGCAATAGTACACTCTTGCCGCAACCAAGACAAATGCATCACTACACATTCAAATAGATCATCGCTGTCTAAAACATCCATATCATCATACTGTAATACACATGCAACCCCCTCACCTCGAACCAATAAACTCGCTCAACTTCTCCTGGTTAAGAATCTCCCCCTCAACAAGCCTTCCCGTCTCCACAACCTCTCCATTAACAGACTCATACCGCACCAGCGCAGGAATGTTGTTCACATTCCATCTTGTCCGGTAGGCGTTCTGTGGGTCTTTCCATCTACAATACCCCGAGAAAGTAAGGCGGGTGAAGTTAGCAAGAACCGACTCATTCGAAGCATATATAGATAAATAGTAGAGAATTGAATAGGGTATATCTTACTCTGGCTTCTGTCCAACCTCAACAACACCAACCTGGGGACCTTCCTGTCCCGAAAACGCCTCCTCAATCTTAGGCCATGCGGCACGGACATCCGGGCACCACGCTTGTCCGGTAGCCGGGTCTGCGGAGGACACGAAGGCAAGGAATAGTTTCTTGTCGGTGGGGACCTCAAGGAGGTTCGCCGAGGCGGGGAGCTGGAAGTTGGAGATGAGTGGCATATTTATGGGCTTTGTAGGCTTGAATATTTGGGTGTAGATGCGGAGTAATGATGAGGGGATGGGCATTTCAGCTGGGCTTGTAAGGGTGTACTAAAAATAAAAATGACAGTTTTTCTGTAAGTGGGCGGGCGGTGAAGGGTATATGGTGGGGGTTCTGCCGGAAGTTTGTAAAGAGAAGATGATGAGGATCACATGTTTTGTCTCTTCAAATGATGATAGCTGGGCTAGTTTGACAAAGTGAGGAGGCGATCACAAAGTGGTGGTAGAACGTAGAATTTATTCAAATTCGAAAAGATTGAGTGGTCCAGCAAGGACGATCACGTCCTACTTGACGGGAAGGGGAAAAAACAATTGGGAAAGAAAAAGAATGACCAGACTGGGGCTCGATCCCAGGACCTTATCGGTGTTAACGATACGTGATAACCAACTACACCATCCGGCCATGCTTGTTGAATACTGTCACAGTATTTAGTTTGAAGAGGCAAAATCCCCTTCCTTACGTCGAAACGATCAATCAGAAGCAGAAAAATAATACCAACTAAGTAGTCCGTATTGTTAAAGCCAAGATTTTGATAGCTCTGTGTCCCAAGAAGCCCGAATATAGAATACACCTGCTGTCGTCAGCTTGTGTCATAGTAGTCGTGGATTAAATGTGGTAACTCATTCCTGTCATTCTTGACCGTTCCCACTTCAATGTTCCGGTACGGAAAATATATACTACTACTGGGTTTGTCGAGAGGCAATCAAGTCAATATCCCCTATTGGCAGTGAATCGCACCAGGTTCTTTTTTCTTTTTCCTTTTTTTTTTTTTTTTTTTTTTTTTTTTTTTTTTTTGAAATTATATATATATATAAATATATATGTATTTCTACTGAAAAATAACAAGTCCAATATACATTCAACCCTGAAGAGAATATTTACTACCGCCGTTGATTGTCATTTGACCCCTGCAGTCATCAAAAACGAACTAGACAACGCCGCTTTCTCGTTGGGCGTGATCATATCGCCAAATCGCCCTCATGGGTGCTAGCAGGACTGCCGATGCCAGAGCCATCACCAACGCACTAAACAATTGCATCCCCAAGAATCCGTTGCTTCCGCCATGCCCCTCCAAGGCACCACCGATAGGCGCACCGATCAATGCACCCAAACTAACAGCAAACCACTGCATGCCCATACGGGTCCCAATGACCGATGGAGTAGGCGAAATGACCGGATGAGCCATCAGAACCGGAGTAACGGCGAGGAAGCTGCCAGTGAAAACGCCGAGGAAGACAGAAAAGACAACACATCCGGCGACGGTGTGAACGCCCGTCCAGCCAAAGAGAATAACGGCTGAAGCAGCCATGCTGGTATACAGAACCTTGCTGGGACCAAAACGAGAAACTAGCAGAGGGCAAACGACACGGCTGATACTGGAGCTCGCGTTGAATATCGACACTATATAGACGCTCAGGTCCATTGAAGTGTGCAGCACGGACTGGGCAAAGGAAGGCAGGAGGAATAGCGGGACGAAGTAGGACACGAAGAATAAGAAGTTCACTACTGCATAGGCGTCGAAACTCGACTCCTTCAGTGCATGCCAGTGGATGAGCCGGCGTGGCGGACTGGGTTTTGGATTGGTAGTGGCTATCAACAGCGGGACGGCGACACATGAGCAAGCCACCTGGATAAAAGCCAGGGTGCGTGCTGTCCAGGGGAAGCCGATCCGTGGCTGCAGCCGGATGAAGAGAATCGGGAAGACGGTTCCGCCTGGGTATCGGCAAAGTGAGCGAGACTGCATCAGAATCGAAATACTCGTAGATCAGGACAACGCACCAATAGTGGTCCCGGATGACAACAGACCGACGGCAATGCTGCGGCGTGTTGTGAACAGGGTGGAAGCAAGTGACAAGGCGGGCACGTAGATCAGGCCACAGCCTATGCCACTACAAACGCCCTGCGATAAGAATACTTGATAATACTCTGTAGACAAGCTCAGCATCATGAATCCAATTACGTTTAGGAAACAGCCGACGGTCATCAGGGAGTGCAGGTATCCCTGATCGAAAAGCGGCCCCGCAAAAACGCCCGTAGAGACCATGAAAAAACCTTGGATAGTGCCTATCCAAGCGATGCGCGATGGGGAACTGGAGCGCAATAAGTCGGACTCGTAATACGCCTGGAAGGCGCCATATGCAGACGAGTAACCATAGGTTGTGGCGAAGAGTAGAAAAGAGGCAAACACAGCTGACCACCCAGCGACTCCTCCATTTGGCGGAGCAGTAGAATTAGCAGCAGCAGCAGAATGGCGCTGGTCTTGCTGGGGACTGGAACGTCCAGACTCCTTCGATTCCATTGCAAAGAAAGAAAAATAAGGCTTTCTTCCCGAGATACTGAGGCTCTGTTATGAGCGAAAAATTTATATTAGGTGCGAGGATACGTGATCCAAAAACCGGTGAACAGAAGACTCATAATTTTTGTCCCTAGCTTTCAAATAATATTTTAGTAATCCATAAACGCAAACATGCAATGATTGAGAAAGCAGATATAGTCGTCATCATGTGGTTACACATGATAGTGTTATTCAGCTTCTCCGATCAATAATTCTGCAGCTACGGATAGCTATAGGACTAGCGAAGCCGAGCTCCATTGATTGCCGGCCAATTAAAGTTCACCATGAGCATGATGGAACCTGAAGTCGATCGTGCAGATCATATGCAAGGCAGATCATCTGATAGATTGGCTATGATCTGCGCCCAGCAGCGGTGACTGATTGGACCAGCGGTGACGATCGTACTGAAGCGTGCAGGTAGGTATGCGAGATAGCTGTTCAAGCAGACTTTGCAGCGAGGCAATCGAGCTTAAAGAATTGAATAAAGGTAGACCTGCAGCAAAGCATCTGTAATTGTATGCTTTCATTTTGACGCTGGGGTGAATCTAACCCACATCTTTAACCAGACGAAGAAGGAGTACTGAGCTCAAAGAACTCAGGAGTATTTATCTAGAGAGCCACGTGCTCACAGAAGTCAAAATTACGTTTCGGAGTCGCAACTGGCTCAGTCTAATCCTACGGGCGTGACGCTCATTCAATCGTGTGTTTCCCGAGTATGCATCAGACTCTATAGAACGAATTGATCTTAGGGTAAAACCGACAGTACATGTACTTCAGATTCACCAATCCATTATGCTAAGAGAAAGGGTTCATTGCTTAAATGTGTATATTTCACCGATTACCGATTCTGCCATCTTTTCACCATACTTCCCAGTCACTTCGCTCGACGCAGCGGACCATCCGCCTGCTCAGACCAATACTCGCTCCCTACTGCCTTAAACGCATAAAACCTATTAATATAAGACGGGGGGCATAGGACTAGGCACATACGTACCAAGCACAATATAAAACGCAGCGTCTCTCCACGTCGGATTTACCAGGCTTGGGCGTCGTACGGGGTAAAGGTGTTCTTCAGCAATGAAATTACTAGGTCTGAATAATGGCAAGAGAGGGGTGGTGACGCGGACATAGACCAAAGATACCCTCCTGATTTCTTTGATATTTCTGCAATATCAAATTTCTCTTCTATCGCGATCCAGGCCGGCCTGATGGATCAATCGGAGCCAATCTTCACATATAATGGAACCTCAGGCACGTATTGTTGAGACTTCCTCATAGAACGAGTCAGCGGAATTACTATCGAGGTAGAAGATGTGGGGGGTATCTGGTGCTTACTGGGAAACCTGACAGATTACCGCTTTATATCCTCTAATATGCATGACTATGTGACATCTTATTGGGTCACAACTCTGACGGGGTTGGAAATTTAGGAGTGAAGGCTCGGTAAGCGTCTCGGCAGCTTACATTTGGCTGATCCCTCTACTTATGACGCCTATTAGTCTCTGCATCTATGATGAACATATATTAGGCTCGCTAGAGCGCACCAAATAAAGCAATATGAGGGGCAGTCGTAAGATTTTTGATTTATTATAGGCAAAGGCATCCAGTGCAACTGCTATATATCATTTCATGAAGCCTGGGACGGGACGGCAAGTCCCTAGCATCAAATTGTGCTTTTGCGTGGTGTAATAGTTACGCGAAACATATCATCAGCCACGGGCATTGGTACCGTCGCCCTTCCTCTCGAAGTATCCATTCTAGGAAATGGGTGCTTTCCAATCCCGCCAAGTACGTCCACGTCATAGCGGCACAAAACAATAGCAACAAAGTACATCACAAGTTGCGGTGCCATTGCCACGCCACCGCATTGATGGATTCCATCACTAAAGGGTCGGTAATACCTTGAATTTGCTAGTCCCGGATTGTCAAGGAAGCGTTGATATTTGAACTCCTCCGCATCAAGACCCCAATGGGATTTACTCATTTGGAGGCGGTCATAAGGGATGAGAAGAGTAGAACCCTTCTTTAGGAGATAGGGACCAATTTCTGTATCTTCAGAAACATGGCGAAATATGTGTGGACCGGAGTGGATGCGCATGGTTTCCTCAAATGTGGCCTTGAGGATTGGACAGCACTCAAGCCGTGCTGGGATGTCGGCCGGCGTAATGGGGCTGTTTCTCAAGAATGACTCTTCACATTCTTCCCGTATCACTGATAGCAGACCAGGATTATGAAGAAGTCTGCACAAGAGCCAAAATGCAACAGTGGATGGATTGTCGAGCATGCTGTATCTAGTTTAGTGACAATTTTCCAAGCACTTGTTCCAAAGGATAATGAGGAAACTATAAACTCACCCCCAATAAATCCAAACAAACATCTTTGCCAACTCTTCCTCTGAAACAGCTGCCGAGCGAATCTCATCTTCAGCCAATTTTCGCTTCTCTGGGTAGAGCAAAGTATTTGGCAAGAATCTGTGTTAGCTTGTCACAGGCAGCGTAAGCTTTCGGGGCAAGAATCCTAGGACGTCTCGTAAAGATGGCGTATATATTCGTCTGAAGGAGAAACATGTTGTCCACCACCTCTGGAAACATATCTAAACATACTTTCCCCATCGCACCATCACTGATGGTCACGATAAAGGCATCCACAATCCATTTGAAGAATGAAACCTCGTGCGGCTCAGCAATAGATCTTCTCAGTGGATCAGAGGCAGCCAAAGGCGTAAGAGTCCTATCCATCTGTGCCAGTATATTCAAAGTGAGAGGGTTACTCTGTGGCCGTGATCGCAGAGCCCTTCGTACGTTCTGGGTGATCGAGCGAGGAATTGGCTCTGTTCTTTTGGCAGTGATTGAGGACCACAAACGAGCTCTCGTTGGGCCTGGGATACCAGATGCTGCCATCATGGTATCAAGAAAATGGTTGTTACCCATAGACTCGTTTTGCTTGTGAACCTCAGAAATCAGTCTTACATCTTGGACCACATATAGAGATTGACCGCCAACTTGAAGGCGAAAGGTGCCATCTTCGGTTTCTAAATATGGCCTGTGACTCTGTTAAAATTAGAAGTCGTGCTCTTGCTCTGGGAGGCTCTTTACATGGAGTTTTCTATGGTCTTATCGGTGTTTCTGAGGAATGAGAGAGTGTGGCCGACACCTAAACAAAATTAGCAATGTCTTGGAAAGGGCATTATCAGAGTATTTGTAATACAATCACTTGCCTGGTATCCAGTAAGAAATCAGTGGCGGTTCTCGATGATGAACGTGTCGGCTACTCCACTGTCTTATCGCATACCATAGGCAGTATATGACAATCGCAACACCGAGGAGCACGTAGTTGCTTGAACCAGACACGACCCCCATAAGAGCCATGGTAGTTAACGACTCTTTTGCTATGATGTGAGCCTCGAAACAACAGGAAACGTGATCGAACTATAGGGTAGCTTCCGGATGTTGTTGTTCCAGTAACCCAGATAGCACAAAGGATGTTTAAATAGATATATAGTCTCTTTACACGAACGAGGGTATCTATGACATGTCAAATGAACTTTCCCTGATATTTGCCTTATATTGCATAGTATAAGCACAGGTGGATTTGGAATATCGAAACGTGACATTCAGCTTCTCATGCGACCTTCAACCCCCGGAGGTATGTGGCCAATGCAGATTTGAAACGTTCTGTATGTTATGCACGCTGGATAAGCACACATACTCAATACAGCGCTCAACGTGCGGATTATTGACTCCTCAAATAGGCTCATTATTTACCGGCGAAATGGAAAATTTTCAAAAATGGCGTTCGGTGGGGCCCTGCAAATTACTAGTATATTGCAGGTCGGTCCAGACCGCGAGACTGACAGGCACGATGCTATTCGCAACTTGAATGATTACTCAAATCTATGAACAGCCATGGTCGAGGTTTTTTGGGGGGTCTTGTGATTGTTAAACAAATGTAAGTGTTTCTCTATTGCCTGGCTTTGTCCGATTTTCCGACACGAGCTAGGCCAGGTGCGGGTTGGGGAGAACCAAAAAAATGACCTACGCAGGACTCGAACCTGCAATCTCTTGATCCGTAGTCAAGCGCCTTACCATTGGGCCAGCAGGCCAACTGTTGGGTTATGATCAAAGTTCTTGCTAAATATATCAAGCTAAGGGGCAAAGGCGATACGATACGGTCTTTCCCAATGCTCTTCTGAATTCTATCTTTGATATTAAGCAATCACAATAGTATTCACCCCAGGTGATTATCATGCTCAAGTACATTATTCTTTTCTCTTCCTTATGGATTGAAAGCAGTTGTTCTTTTGAATTAGAATTAGCCCCATATTTGTCCCAATCACTCATGGGGTCAGACCGTCAGAGAAAATGGGGTGAACAACTTCAGGTTACAGATCAGCCGGGCTCATTTTTTGGGTTGTGTGGCTCAAAAATGGCTTAATAAATAGTTTTATTATATAAAAATTCAGTAAGCTAGTTACCTACATAAAAAAAAATTTCATATTATATTATCTTTTTTATTATACTTATATCTTATTATATTATATTGTTATTAATTATTTCTTATTCTATATCTGTAACTATAGCTGTTCTTGCTCAGAATATCAGTATAATAATTTTTTAAATTCTTATATATTACTTACTAGTTATTATATTTGAAATGAGCCCAGAATAATTTTAAAATGAGTTTTTCAATTAAAAACTAATAAATTTTAATATAAATAGAACTGGTATTACTAGTAGCTTAATATTTAAAATTTCAAACATAAAATAAATTTAACTTATTTAAATATAGTCTAGTAAGTACTATTCTAATTTAGAAATAATTATTAAATATTTATTAACTAGTTCTTAATTACTTATAATAATAAAAATTATTATGAGATTTATTATAGCAAGGTTTACTGCCCTATTAAATAATATAATAAAAAATATAAGTAATTTAAGAACAGTTATCAATTATTTATAATATTATTTTAAGTTTACTAATAACCTTCAGATTTATATTGAATTATGGCTTCCTCCTGTGCCACTGCACAGCAAACAGCCAGAGGAAGCGTGACCAATCAGCGAAAAAGAGGATCATTTACCCGGCTTACTGATCGGTGTGTAAGGACGCAAAACAGGTAGCCAGCTACCGGCAGGTTTGGAGAAGGTCAGAAGAGCAGCTAACAGATCCCTGTAAGCCGATAATCAACATAGGATGTGAGAAACCAGACACGAACTTACAGGTAAGGTCGAGACCACTTTGCGCATTCTCTCCGCCTGGAAGCCTGAAGCAGAGCCGCTTGGTGTTATGGTTGACAGTCTTGGATCTATGAAGTTGGAGGTACACGAAAGCCGGCCCTTTGCCAAAGACCCTCTTCGGCGTCGGCGTCGGCATCGGCGACTCCGCGAAAGCGCGCTTGCTGAAGAAACGGGAAACCATGTATGTACTGAATCCGCCGACAGTGAAAACAGCGAAGGCCTTGGCGACTGGGCGTTTGTTCAGGAGGCCCGACATTGTATCGGCGCTGTCTGCGGTGTGACCGACTGCTGGGGAAGTTGTCAGCTAATGGTGGTGTGCGAGCCGATGGCATATGCAGGCATAACTTCGTTCAAGCCGGGGCTTTATTGAGCTATTTGAACCATCGTTCGCAGTCATATTTGTCCGTTGAGTCCAAGATTCCTTCCGTCCAGTCATTAGGGCGGGGTCTTCTCAGCCTTGTTTTTGCGGGTTGGTTCCTGCCAAGCTCGCAATCAGGCCATCCTTTGTCCGCAAGTGTCAACTGATTCGACAGGCCCCTGGACTGTCCAATGTCCTTTCCAGCGTTGAGCTAGTGGCTAAGTGGACCAGCAGATTACCGTGCCTTGTCAAATGAAATCAAAGTGAGAGGTCAAAATTACATGTGGAAGAAAGTCTGATCAATTAGGTCTTACTAAAGCGTGTAACTAACATCTCCTTCTGTGTTTAAAACGCGGACCATACATGGTAGCAATTAGATCTACCTTGTTTTCCGACAGATAGCCCCACCTGAGTTCGCCCAACCACGAAACATTGCACCGCGAACTTCTTCAGGAAGGGTCCCTAAGAAGTCGAAACCAGGTTATAGTTGCTTCAAAAATAACAAAACTGCAATTATTAAACATGGTTAGTCATAGAGATCGGGGAACTCAGAGGCTAAAAAGGCCGACGCGGCGATTAGTTCGTTGTCGAGTATACTATGTACAGGATTAAATGCCACCTAATGTGCCTATAAAGTGTTTTATGCAAGGCAAATTTCACAATACCAGAACTATTAGCCAGCCACTCATTTATGTAATTCTTTGTCATTTCCCCTTTGACTTCTTGACTCCTTCAGTACTTCCTCACTCACCAGCCTGAGCCTTGACAAGCACTCTCCAAGAAAGCCAGACTCCAGCTGCATCACAGCGTAACATCTAATAGCCTCAAAACTCAACCTGAAGCGGCTAGTCTTCTTTTATGTTTAACGACCTCGGCCTTTGCGGCTTCTGCGGGTCTTGGCGCAGGCCACCAGTACTGCGGTCCCCAGTACGATATTCTGATTATCGCAACTAAAAGCTGTTCGATAAAAGATCACCAATAAACTGGCAAAAGAATTGCTCTAATTTCCCCCTACTGTTTGCTCAGAGTATCTTGGCTCTTGATCGCAGCCATGCCTGAGATCACCTCTCTGGTCGCGACAGCAGGGACAACCTCCTCCCCGTTCGTTTCTGGTAAATTCATGAGCTCCTTTGTTTTTGAAACGGGCCTTATAATTGTGTGACCTTTGAATCGATCTCACTGCTAATTCTGGCCTGAATGCAGGTGCCATCTTCGCATTTCTCTGCTGGTGGTGTTAACACCTCGAAATTAGCCGCACTAAGACCTCTCCAGTTTTAGCCACGCAGCAATGGCTAAACGTGTTCAACTGATGTCATAAAATTGGCATGCCTATGGTAATCTTCTTGGTAGGGTGTTTTGCGTGGTTGAAGTACAAGATAAACAATAACATTTTTCTGGCCGCCGCCACTTCGTGTATGTGCATTGTACCCTACACCATTCTCTTCCTCAGCGGACCTGAGAGGGTTCTTTTCCCGTGGGCAAATATGAAGCAGAAAATACCCTCTACTCCCAATTCTCATGAGATTGAACAGGCTCTTGGTCAATGGGAGCTCGCAAATATGGTTCACATTTTGTTTCCTCTTGTTGGTGGTGTAATGGTCCTAGTGTCCAAGATGTAGGGCTCGCGAGCGCCGGTGTTGTTGTTTTCGAGGGTGATCTCGATTGCGGATACTATGCCAGTAATCCTTATGGCAGACAGCTGGGATAACACTTTTTGTTGTAAAGAAGAATATTCAAGCTTTTAACTCTTTCTAGGCCTTTCTGGGCCCACTTGTTGCTTTCCGAGCACATATCTAGGGGCCAGATATGGCATGGCCTCCTGGCTAAACTGCAGTTTACGCAGTGACCACACGAGACTGGCGGAACGAGTGTCATTGGTCATCGTGATCGAGATTTTCTTAACTCCTGATCTCTCGCTGCTCCGGTGTTGACCCATTCCGTCAACCTGGCGAATCTATTCAGATAAATGACACTGCTGTCTTTCCGCTTCCTCAAGAAGGATTGCTAGTGAGCTGCATAACCAAGTTTCTCAGAAATTGATTTTTTCAATGGAAGCTCTGGCATCTACTAATATACTAGTTGCTTTGATAGATCGCATGCATGTTCTGTCACCTTTAGAAGCTGAAGGTATGAGCGGAACACCTGAAGTCTTCCTTTAAAAAAGGTGGTTATGAAAGTACCTAGCTTGACTGTAACCAGCTACATACAGACAATCACGACAAATCATTACAGATGTCTGACAATCTGGATGAGTTTCAGGGATTCCCTATGGAGAGGTGACCCAGAGATGGGAGCAAGCTAAGATACATACTCATTTTCCCAGCGATATTCCGTGCAACTACGAACGGATTCATAGTCACCAGGATTAATTCGAACCGCGACACAGGGATCATAACAGAATGCAAGTGCGCCGAATAATGGAACCTTTAGACACACCATCCCCAGAGTTGGAATTCAACTTACAGTCTGGAAAACTCCCTGACACTTGCTTCTGAGAGGTCTACCGTTGCAGTAACTGATGCCTGTACAATGTCACTTGATTAAAGTGACAGGCCCTTGCTGCTAGCTGATCTGTATTGACGATGACTACGCCTGTCCTCAGCACCTGTCAACTGCAATGGGTCCGAGTCGTACTTTTCGTCCGCCCTTGCAAGGACTACGGGCGGTCACCTGATGCGACCCTCCAATTGAGACCTTTTGTGTGATTCCATTGGTTGTGCCAGATATCCGCTGGACCCTCGTTTTCGACGAATGCGGAAGCTTGCGTCTTGGCTTCCTTCCTAGGAATAGCGTGATCTATGATCGGTACCCTTACGTACGTTCAAAGAACTCGGACTCTCACTTTACTTACGATCACCAAAAGTCTTCTGGAATTCAATGAGTATGAATACTGCTGCTGCGAGCTGTGCCGATGTTCCTTGTTGGACCTGTCGTCGCCGACGCCTCAAGTGCGATCGAGCACTCCCCATCTGTGGCAAATGCACATCTTCAGAGCAACCCTGTCTGGGATACAGCAAAGACAAGCCTCTGCGATGGACAGACAGTGTGGCAAGCCGCGGCAAATTAATGGGCAAGAAGGTGCCACGTCAAGAGCAACATCTCCCAATCAACAAGGTTCTGAATGATCCTGGCTTGCAGGATTTGTCTCCGTCAATGCGAGACTATATTGCTTATTGTAGGTGGAGTGCCTGAGCCAATTGAGTACTGGCTGATTGAAGATCAGTTGAGCAACAGTGTTGCCAGGAATACGTGCTATATGATTTTGAGCGGGCAAATCCGTTCAAGGAGTTCATTCGATTGATTCCATCATGTCCGGGATTATGCCACGCGGTGGTGTCAGTTGCAGCTCTACATCAGGCCTTCCGAATCGCATCAGCTCAATGCAACGAAAAGTCTATGGCATACATGTCGAATCCAACTGAAGTACAAATATCACAATGGGTTGAGCAGGTGCACCATCCTCACCAGCTGCCATCATATCACGATGCTCTTTACCACAAACAGCGAACTCTCAGCTTCTTGAGAAGCGAAGCATATGCGGGACGCTTCAGTAATCCGGACGGTGTCATTGCATCCATGATAATGTCCATATGGTTCGAGCTCATGGATTCTGGACGAGATACTTGGAGGTACCATCTTCGTGGACTGAGAGAAGTGAGGCCAAAACGCGGCTTATCCCTCCCGCTCTTCAGGGATGGAGAATTGACCGCTGACTTGCCTCAAATGAGCCAATACTTTGACACGAGCTACGCGATGTAAGGTCCCAGTCTGGGTCCCATACAGCAATGGTCGCTAATGCGATGTTACAGTTTTGAAATTATAGGGTCGACATTTGTGAAGGCCAAACAGCCTTATCAGCCGCTCTTCTCGATGTCCCCTACTCTCGACATCTTGAAGCGTTCTGAGTCCCAGACATGGACCGGGTGCCCCGCAACCCTTCTCTACGTGCTTTCTCTCGTGAATGCGGCTGCTTCGAGCTCTCACGAAATGCCACCGGATTTGATTGACACCATTTTCTCCCATCTGCGGAACTTCTCTCCAATGAAGTGGGCAGTTGCGGGTGCGGAAATTCACTACATGAAACCAAGATATCAACTTGCCTGTGTCTGGCAAGCAGCGGTCGAGATATACGCGCTGCAACTTCTCCCAGTTCCTTTCGAAAGCGATGTTTTCAACGAAGGGAGAACCAGCAATTCACTGGATTCGATCCTTCACCATCTCAAATCCATGGACCCCGCGGATGTCCATCTCAAAGGCATCCTATGGCCTGCATTTGTCATTGGCGCCGAGGCACAAACAATGTCTCAAAGGGTACTCATTACTGATGTGCTTGGACATCTGTGGACACTATGGCGCTGTCACAATGTGACGAATGCCTTGAAGGTGCTTGAGAAGATTTGGGCTCGTCGAGCTATGGAAGGGTCGTCTCGACGATGGATCGAATATGTCTATAAGTGGGGTGAAGATTGGATGTTCATATAGTCACTTTATTCCTTGATTATCTTGCGGGCTTGACAGGACATTATAGATGAGGTTAACATCCAATATAGAATGTTTTCAACATAATGCGTCTACCTTCTGCCAGCATGCACTTGCTCTAACATATAGTTCATGGTCTCGATCCTTGAGACCCACATCTACTCGACGCTTGCTATTTAACCAACTCGGGCCCAGTCTCTTGGCTTCCCCTTTGGGACTAAGCTCACTGCACATCTAGACAGTCACATGGTCCAGCAATGAGATGTATCCTCAATTTCTGCGTCTTCAAACTCGCTTCAGAAGGCTTCATGGGCACAAAACCCCCTTTCGTTCAGTTTCTTCTACCCTTCCCTCATCTCCATACCTGCCTCACACCATGTCTAGGCTCGAGATAGACGTGCCGGGTACACACAACATCTACTTTACGCCTTATGGAGAGACATATACTCCTTCTCTCTACGGAGTCATATTTTTGCCATCAGCATGCTTTAGGGGCAAGTCGACGGCACCTTTAGTGTCAGTCTCGCTGACGCGGTTCGTCACGCTATCGACAAAGCGAAGGGCCATTTCACAACTCGTGAAGAGGAAAAAGCAGCCAGAAGCTACTTATGCAGAAGTAGTGGCTTGTGCCGAGATTTTTCGCCCAACTGGAGCAGCCACAGCCAACGAAAGAGACCAAGCTTTGTCAGATTTCTCCCTTGCTGTTCCAACGTCCTTGAGCCCGACAACTCACACTTCAATTATGACAACATCATATGCGTTGATTGTTCATGCAAAGATGGAGGGAGGAGAAAAGCTTGAAGCAACACGCGAGCTGCAAATTTGCCGTACGATGGTTCCCAGCCCTCCGCTTGTTTTCGAACATTTCAGAAGGTGCCAACAAATTCCATTCAGCAACAGGCTCTTCCTATCGCCTGGGTACCTGCCCAATTGCACGTCAAAAGACACATTCAGCGGAACCGTTCTGCTTGAAGGACCCCTGGTACGAAGGGGTCGTCCCTCTGAGATCAAGGTAGTTGTGGTCCGTGAAGTGAGATGGTCAGTGACAGAAGCAGTCGAAATTTCACACAAGCACCCTTCATCACCACTTGGCGCCAATCCAGATAAGAGGTACATAGGTACAATCTGCAAAGGGAACATAAGAGGCAATTGGATGCCTGAGGATCTTGTTTCCTGGAAAGAAGACAAAGATGCTTTCAAGCAAGCCCAAGTACCATTTCGATTACTCATTCGAAAGGCCACGAGCGACATGGAACTACACTGCCCGCAGCCCAAGACTAAGAGATCACCAAGGAACAGCACTTTTGTGAATGAGATATCCCATGAAAAGATTGGCATTTCTGTGCGCCATCGACTGAGGCTTGAAATTGTCATCGGCGAGGACACATTCGTTCAGCGAACCCAGACCTTGGTGGACCGAAAACCCGTTCGACATTGTCTTGCGGCAACATATCCTTTGCACATAGGTCTTATTGCATATGACGCACCGATACCTGAGGAAATGTTCGAGACAGAAAGCGAGTTACCTGGGTACGAGGATTCTGGAAGGATGCCTCCAGCATACGATATGTGAACGTTTGATACTGCACTTTCTCAAGGAAGAACTTTCTTATGGTCCTTGCACTCCATTTGGAGGCGGGCTTTAGGCGATTTGGAGTTTAATGAGTACTTTGCAAGACCTATTCACATTGAATACGTCCGTCTTCAGTCAATCTCCGACGTATCATGACAGTCTCTCTTGAGTCACAGCCTGTTCTGTCGTAGTGCCTGCTTCCAAAGCCGCACTAATGGGCCATCTAATCCGTAGACAGGATCATGATCTGGTACTTTGGTCTTCTTGATCTCTTTAATCCCGAGTGACCACCGCTTTCAATCACCAGGACTCCCTACATATATGAATGAAACCATGGTCACATCTCGCATCAATATTCATGTTGGGTAGAACGCCCTTTCTGCATCGAAATCACACGCCCGAATTTGCTTGAGATTCCCTCAAAGTAGACAATTTCCGGAAATGTAATCTACTGATGCGACTCCTTTCTACAGCCGATCTGACAAATAAATAAACGGGCCCAGCACCGGTGCCTTAGGCAAAAGGGACACGATACAACGTCATGATAAATGAAAACGAACAGCATGATTAATACGAAAAACTACTTCAACTATCTAGAATCTGAAACAGACCGTTACTGGACAATCTGCGGAAGCTTCGACCATTCCTCGAATTCAACGAGGTGATGATGTACAAAACACGAAACTGCCTTGCCTCACTGTTTGCTGCAACCTTCTCAAGGTATGGCTTTCCTGACCTCTCGCCGGAATCAAATGGTTGACAATCAGGACGAAGAAGCCTGTTCCTGTTCTTCATCAGCTGTCAGCGAGCTGACAGCTTTGGGCATCCTGCCCCAGATCATCAGAATTATCAAGCTGGCACCAGCGACACCGACTCCGAACCAGAATGTTGCTTTATAGCTAATTTCTATTCCCCTATCCTTGACCACGGCCGACTGAACAATGTCTGTCAACCCGAGGACTAAGGCGACGCCAAGCTGCAGAACGGAATTTAACACACCCCCTGCCAGTCCCTGCTGCGAAGATGGGACGACTGTCGTAATGAAAACTGTCATCACGATAGTAGACAGGTCGATGCCAATAGTGCTGAGAATGGACGATGGAAAAATCCATGCCCAGTAGCTTCCTCCACTAGGTGGAATGAGAGCGAGGAGGAGTTGCGATCCAACGGCGGCTAAGCCTGAGATTATCATAAGAACATGGCCAGGGACGAGATGTAAGATGTACCCTTCAATGACGCTTACGACAAGTCCAACGACGCCAATGGGTATGTACCACACGACGACCTGAAGTGGCGAAGCTGACAAGACGGTTTGATAGTAGAGTGAGCCATTGACGGAGAAAATACCCCAGGTACCGTAGAGAAGTAGGAGGACAATGAGTAAAGGTGTCATTGATTCCACTGAGAAGAGTGATGCGGGCAAAAGTGGATCCGAGACAAGGTTCTGTTCGACATACCACGTCCCGGCAAGGAACATAATGCCTAACAGGAAAGTTGCCGGGACATATGGCGTTTTCCATCCCGAGGGAGCATGTGCAGATTGAGTGATCGCGAAAATCGTAAGAACGAGTCCGCAAACGATGCAAATCGCACCGAGATAGTCCATTTTCACTTTCTTTCGGGAGTCATTTGCCAAAGTCGAGTATGGCATAGCACATATTGATGTAGTGAGCGTTATCGCTGCAAGTGCAGCGCCAATCCAGAAGTAATAACTCCAGTGTAAGAATTGACCCACGAGCCCTGCAATGGCAATGCCACCAAAGAAGCCCAGAACACCCGCGGTGCCATAGATTGCAAAGACAAGGTTTTTACGAGGCCCGGGCCGGTAGAGTGAGCCTATAATCATGACTCCCGTTGGGAGAAAGGCAGCAGCTCCGAGGCCCTGAAGTGCTCGACAAATATCTAACATGACAGGGCTAGAACTGAATCCTGCGATTAGACTCCATATAAGAAGCCACGCAAGACCAGCGAAAAAGAGAGGGTATCCTCCCCACATATCACCAAGTCGACCAAATATGAGCAAAGTGCTCGAAATCACAAGCGAAAAGGCAGTCGCGGGCCATACTTGCGAAGCCTGGGGAATCTTCAGCTCTCGGGCCAGTGGTGGCAAGATGACCGTGAAGCCTGAGACGAAGAACTCGGTCAAGAACTGTGACATAATTATGCCAAACAGGCAGAAGAGTTCAGTCCACAGATTGGGAAATGCCGATGGACGTGAACGTCCAAGACGCTCAATCCGAGCAGATGGTGATTCATCCTGAGGAATTTCCGGTACGTTTAACCGAGAGGTGCTTTTCGACGGCGTTTTGAATGCTCGGCGTAGATCCTCGACAGCCATGTTGTAAATTTTTCAATGTCTCCGTAGCTTGAAGGGTGCCAAATTCGCTCGCCAGCTAAGTAAACAAGGCACCAGGTATGCCGATGATATTGACTGCCACGGAAGTCCTCAGCGCCAGAAAATCCAAGACCTGATGGAGATTTAGAGCCGCCCGACAATAAGTGGCAGTCGCAACGATTGAAATTCCCAAGAGCTTGAAAATCAATAGCTCTTCGATGACATGCTTCAAAAAAGGAAAACAAGGATGGAAAAGAGTTTTTGTATCGGAAACTTGATTCAAATGTATAGATTGATCAAACCGTAACAATGTGTGGCCGAAGGACCGTTCTGATTCGTTCAATTCTTGAAAAACTCTCCACTATAATTTTCCAAATTAGGCTGCCAAGACACTAGCCACCCGAAGACTTAAAAGCTTAACGGTATGGGGACAAAGGATCTTTTGATTCGTTTAATTTTCGAAAAACTCCCCACTATACCTTTCCAAATAAGGCTGCCAAGACACTAGCTAGCCGGAGACTTAAAAAGGCATCGGAAACGGAGAGTTGTGATTGGCTCACTCATGCTCCATGAGTGAATGTTGTGAGCTCAGTTGTTTGATGGATTTCCAAGGCGACTGTATGCTTTATAAGCACGGTGTATAGTTGACTAACAAAATAATTAACTATGAGCAAATAAAAAAATTGATATTTGTTAGTTTTTCCCCTGGGCATTAAGCTACACATCACGCTTGCTGCTCTTCAGCCTTGACAATGAGTGCAGTTTACATTCATTAAGCTGAGGATCTATACAATCTGCTAGCGAAAGATTCTGGTTCCTAAAAAGCGTACGTCCCCAGCATCACGGTAGGGCTTTTTCCTAGCTGTCAAGATTGGCATTGTCGACTTGCAAACTCTACTGTTGCTCTACTGACCTTGGAATTACAGACAATGCCACCAATCATCCATTGCGTTCGTCATGGGCAAGGCTTTCATAATGTGGGTGGCGGTTGCTATACCATTCCTGACCCACGTTTGACACCAACTGGGAAGAGTCAATGTGAATCGCTTCGTAATGGCGCCTTCTTTGATCAGTCGAAAATTTCACTTATCATGTCTTCACCTATGTGCCGAACACTTCAAACTGCATCTCTGGTTTTCCAGACAGCTCTGACGTCGACTCTCAAATCCCAAAGAATTATCGCCTTCCCTGACGCTCAGGAAACGTCAACTGACCCGTGCGACATTGGCTCGGACCCAGACATCCTACGACGCGTGGTGGAAAAGGAGAAATGGCCTGTGGACCTTTCTTTGGTGAAAGATGGCTGGAACCAAAAGAAGGCTAGAAGCCGCTATAGTCAGAGCAGCGATGCAATCAGAGCTCGAGCCCGTGATACTCGACTGTTTTTGCGCGGACTTTTACGGGAACTGGTTTCAAAGGGCGATGACGATGCGGAAATTGTTCTCGTCACACACGGTGGATTTCTGCATTATCTTACAGACGACTGGGAGGACTCATATCGCCACCCAGGTACTGGATGGTACAACTGTGAGACACGTGCTTATGTGTTCGAAAGAGATTTTAGGTCCAATCACGATGAAGAGGCCTGGTTGATGGAAACAAGAGAAAGTCGGTGGAGGCGTGGCAAAGCTCATCCTATGTATGGAAAGAAGGATCAGGTCAAGCTTTTCACTGCAGCGATGGAGCGTTGGCAGGGCCAAGGGCTGCAACGACCGGACGAAGTAGATCTGGATTTGGAGGTTGGATAATTTGTAAATGTGTACTTGAGGCCACAAGATGCACAAGGCATATTACTGTGAGCGCTCTTAGGCAGGAAGGCTCAATAAAAAGTCCCACGCAGGTTAGGTGCATGCGTTTTTCTCTGGCGGCGTTGCAAATGTGACTATCTCTGGCTCTTTTAGTTCTTTTGCCGGTGTCTAGATCTTCACTCACTGTTTCCAGGAGACGGTAAAAACGTTCTGTCTTCTTTGAATGGTTTAGGAGGTTTTTAAGCTGTAAGAGGAGCGTACTCAGCGTCTTTAAACATTCACTTATTTGGTCCCTGGGCACCTTGCATTCCGCGCTTCATCTCGACAGTGGGCCAATTAGGCATCCTATTTAGACGTGGCAGGATACATCAGAGCATTAGACATATCAACATTGACATAGCCTTCGTTAGACGGCCGCCGCTGAAAGAAGGGGTTCCATTTGAACTGAGCTCCAAGAAAGTGCTGCGACGAATCCAATTGTGCTTGGTCACCTTGCAATTGATAATCCCAGCTCGCAGGAGCACAGCCATGGACTTCCAGTAGCCCAGCAGTTGTATTCATTTTTGCAGCTTAAATCTCCAATACATTTTGCAGAATCTTAATGTTATTGATCGGGCGAGAAGGATCTTGTTCTTGAGTTTGCCACATGTTGGAATGGGCTGACTACCTAGTAGAGGCCTTTTTTATATATATTCTGATCCTGAGAATTGAATTGAACGGGCATTTCCGATATAAGCACGCCCTGTTCTAGTAGTTAACATGCGCGCTTATCAAATATGGACGTTATACTCCTTCACAGCACCGCCTCGCGCTGAAAATCCTCACTGTGATGTAACACCCCAACTTTGATATTGCTACAGGACAAGGCTTCTACAAGATGATCATGATCTATAGAGCAAGCTTTGTTAAGCTAAGAAGGGAACAGGGGCTGCCTTGGTCAGATGTCTAGTCCAACGGAACCTTCCATGGATCTTTGTCGCGTGCACTCTTGGCTTCCTGACGGGACACATTGCCTTTGCGGCATATATTGGTCCTGCAGTTGCATATACATGGAGTGCGGCATTCTGCCAATTGCTTCTCAGCACCAGTGGCCTGTGTCAGTTACTCTGTCAGGGAAGTAGTCATGGGGTGTTGTATCTTCTTTGGTAAAACACCTCACATGGTCTAGACCAAGCGCGAAGCCGATTTCCGTATCACTTGTAGGATATCAAGGTTTATTAGTTCTCTTAGCATAGTAGGCATGACTTATGATATATTAAAAATATTAATTTGAAATATTTTCCTGACTAGATAATTCTCTGATTTTATAGTCAGTAGAGATATATTTTTTAGATTTATTATATAATCTCTGTTATTAGTATATTCTATAAATTAAAAAAAAAATATAAAAAAATATTATTAAATCTTTTATTATATTTAGATAACTAGTAGAATAGCTGATAATATTTATATTTTTTTTATAATATATAATAGCAGACTGGCCTGCTGTTATATTTATTATAAATATAATTATTAAATTTATAAAATAATTATTATTATCTATATTTTTGTGCTATTCTCTTTAGCTGTTTATTTATCTATTAAATAAATCTTAATTATTATTAAAAATTATTCTCCGGCCTTCTTCTTACTTATTATTTTATTATATAAATAATTTATATATTGTTCTGGAGAAGAATTTTAATCTAATATTATATATAAAGAAATGTATTATGTATGTATATTATATTTAACAGAGCTCAAGTTTTATATTAATTCAGGATTTAGAAAAAGATAAAGAACTATATTAAGTCTTTAATAATATTAATTATTATCTATCTTGGAGTATTTTAAATGGAAAGCTTATATTCCAAGATGATTATAGAAAATTAATATATATCACTTGTTACAAGACACAATATATAGCTGCTTATTAGGAAATACAAAAGTTCAAGTATTCTATTACATTCATCGATCGACAAAATGTCCCGCAAGCCCTCTACAAAGGGTATCCCGGCTTTCGGCGAAAGCCATATTTTCAGAGAGCTTCGACTACTGGACTACTGTCACTACGGCAAATGGGAAGACCTACAAAGGTCATATTGTAGCTGGAGCGGATAGCGTACATAGCCGTGGAGGGCCAACATCTGGAAGGCCGCCGATCGATTACAGCTCAGGAACGGACTGGTATGGCCGGAGATTATATAGGCTTTTCCACGAACGATTACTTACACTCCCATACAGCTCTAGTTACGGAGTATTCTGGGTCTGACACGTCACAAGAGGCTTGCGACAACGAGTCTGGCAGCTTGAAATTATGTTCAAATGACGTAAATATTCCACCCCCAGCTATAGTTAGACCAACATAAACTCCAGTTACTGCTCCTGATAATGTAGAAGGCCATCATCGGTTCGTGAATCACTATGTGTTGATTATGCAGTCAGAGCCAGGAACTCGGACACTCCGGCGCAGTCTCTCAGAGTTGGGGAGCTAAGACCATATGGATCCCCTTCCCAATGAACCGCGGTGATTGGCTATGTCTAATTCTATTCTTCACTTCAGCTTCTACCTTCTCTCTCGAGGCCAGGGTAAGTGCTTGGTTGTATATGTGCCACAATTCAGGCAAAAGGAGTACATTCTGTACACAGTATTGAACTATCGCCTCTGGCAATGGCCGAAGTTCAAACACCTCGAATGAGCCTCCATGCTGCGGTGAGAAGAGTGTCTTCCCTATCTCTTTCGTGGCTGACCAGCTAGCCTTCTCGGCTTGAGTCATGGGCACATCCCGTGAGATGCACTTTCCCAGACCCGGCCAGGTACTTCCCGGGATGTGCCCTGGTGCCCACCTCCATAACCTGAAGGTCATGGACGCCTGCTAATTCCACATGATACTGATGGAACATGGTTGCAGAGTCGTTCTGGACATCGAAGAAGACTTTGGAAATCATAAATGATTCCAGGATGGATCGAAGAGTGGTGCCCGTATTTGTTGCATGATTAAACGCTGTGGCCCCGAGAGTACGAATGTCTAATAAGTAGACATGATTATGTGGGTATAAGAATATCCGAATAATAGAGATCCGGCCCTCTCGACCGAGGTTCATACCTTCTAGGTCAATGTATATAGAGGCGGGAGTAACTGGAGTATACATCAAAAGCTTCGACAACCTCGCATATACCTTCGCGGGTATCGATCAAAGAGATCGAGGCCTCACTACGAGAAATTGCTTCCTCGGCCAAAGGCTTCCCTGTAGTCAGGACTTTGTCTTCTTCCTTGACCCGATAATCGTCCGACGTTCTACTCCCCCATCCCTGTGTGCTTCTACCGCAGCTGCAGACATTTTGTACACCTGTAGACAATGGGATTTGTTAGTGTTGCCAATAAACGCGTGGCAGGCATGATTGCTTACGAGACATAATAATGGTAAATCTCAGAGGGTTGTCGTACGCTTCCAAAGATAATAGAGAATAAGATTCCGAAAAACTTGGTTTCAAGCAGACCTAGTACGTGGACAAGGCCTGAGACCTTCTATATAATATGACGAGAACACCATCATTGGTAGCGCCGAGACTGAAGTCACCAAATCCGCCTTTGTCGTTGAAAGGCTCACGGACAGTAACAAAGACAGCAGGTTAATGTCGCTCTCAGCCATCCACTGGTCTTATATATTGTGAATTTCAGACCCGCGTTGTTATGATGTTAAATTTCGTAAGGAAAGAGATCACCATAATCTTCGTCCGTTCTGAAGATCCTTGTAAAATCACACGATGGACAGCATTTTGTGGAAAGGCTTAGAATGTATATATAGTTCGAACATTTGGCCCGCTTCCCCAGCCAAGGCAGAAAATAGGCAGTGGTATGGATAAGATGCGCAAACTTCAGATAACAGGTCCCATTACACGATATTTTTTGAAGGTTGTATTGTGATTCGGAAAGCCTGTGCGTGCCGTGGTGGAAGGTGAATCTTCGATATTCGAGGTGCTAGGGTCTCGGTGTAGCTTTAACGGTATCATTATGAGCTGCAGAGAAAAGAAAAGTTTGACTGCGATAGGCTTAGATGATTTGCCTCTGTTTTAGACTCAGCTTTATATAGTATCTTCGATCTTCTGTACCAAGTTTTGGTCAAAGATTAGAATGTTCTTGACAAAACATCGCGACATGAGCGTATTCCTCACCTGTAAAAGATGGTCATATTCTCATGACTGCATTTGCGTAGTTAGTTCCTCCCATATTGAGTGGCGATGGATACCACTGTCAGAATATTGAGACTTATAGTCGGATTGTTGGCGCCCCAGGTCCTTAAATAAGCCCTCGAAAGGAGGAAGATTATTAAAGTGAAAGCTGCAGACATGGCCACGTAGAAGGATCTGGTGAAGTGTCTGGCTACAGTGAATGTTTTCACATACCAAATAATTTCACAATCACGGCACTTACAGTAAGTCAGAGAAAATGAATGCTGGCGGATATTGCCTTGAATTCTCCGCGAGCACACGTTGGGAATTAAACAGGGGTAGATAGCCGGCTTGAGCTAGGTAGGTTCTTCATAAGTACAATCCAGTTACTGGCTGCGGAAGCAAGCTATCAATCCCCACTCAATGTCCCCCAGTAGTCCTAACCGCGGATAATAAACTGCATAATGTGCCAAGCAAAGCAAAAGTCCGAAAGAAGCAAAGAGTATGAGGAAACCATCAGCCCTGCTTCTTTCCTCTGATTTTCTGTTTAATAGTTCGATATCTAGCAACTGACTTTTTCAAAATCAATGCAGCAAGCTCTCCCGAGCCTTCCATGCGCTCTCCAGCTCGCTTTTGAATGTCGATGTATTGCCGGCGGCTTTCATCGTGCTCGCCCAGGCAGACCACGATCCCGGCGTACTTTAACAGTATTGCGTTCATGATCAATCGACACATTCTTCCATTACCGTCTGCAAAAGGATGAATCATCACAAAGTCGTTGCAGTACTTGGCAGCCAAGGTGAATGGATCAAGGATATGGGTAGATTCAATCTTATGAATATCTCTCTCGAACTCGGTAACCAGCTCTTTCATCTTCGCGGGCACATATCTAGGCGAAACAAAATTCGTATTCCCTGCATGAACATGTACCTTTCTATACCTGCCCGAGTATTCTGTCCAAGGGATGCCCCCAGCCGTGTCGATACACTCCGTCAGAATCCGGTGGGTATGGAGAATCAGGTTCTCGGAAAGCGGTTTGTCCTTGACAACCATTACATCTATCAAAAAGTTCAGTGCCAGCGCATGTTGAACTACCTCTCGCCGGCTTCGGATGATATGAGATGCTGGGGTCTTAGAGTGGATCGCCTCGATCAGTTTCTTCTCGTAATCTGTTTCTCTGAAGAAGCGCACATCTTGATTAGCTGTTGTCACAACGGGTATCTATCTTTAGAAATTCTTACCTTTCAGGTATTTTTTCTGGATCCACGAATTCTCCTCGAAAGATACGTTCGCAGATTTTGTTGGTCTCTTCCAGGTTGAGGCCAGCACGTTCAATGTAGTTGCTGCCGAAGATCACGGTACCCAAATATCGTGTCAGAGTATCACTGATGAGTGCAGTACCAGCGCTGCCCTTTTCTTCCAGCTTTTCTTGGATAACTTTATAGAATTCTGTGGCTTTCTTGAACAGATCTCTCGGGGAATCGTCGTCGAGGGGAATGTACGCCCGGGCAGATGAGTCCATGGATATTGTGTAGAATAGACGGCTTTCATTTACAGGTGAGGCATTTGTTATAGAAGGAGGCCAGCCACGAGTAGTAAAAGAACTGCTGATGGCGCTTCGCATACTGGCAGATGTTGTTGTGCTCGCAACGGGGGGGATGGACAGGTTGTCAAAGAGTCCAGCAAGTTGCTTTCGCCGAGGAGAGACTGATCTTTCGCGGCCTTTGCCGCTGAGTAGAGATATGTTCTCCATGAGTGCAGTTTGATTATTATCTGGTAGATTGATGAAGTAGTAGCGAGGAAGGATGTTAGTGTTCGAGTCTCAAATTTGGGGGTAATTTTTGGGTCATGATCATGTCATCATGATGCTTCCATGCCCATCATAGTAAATTCACTATCTTAGGAAAAAGCAACATGATAGGTTTAATTAACACATCGAGCGGCTTAAGCTGAGGTCATTCACCCGACTATAGTGGTTGTTGTATTGCCGATCACCAGACATTTCTTAGGCAGCCAATGACCGTGGTGAATCTACGGATCCCAATACGTCGCTGCTGGAAAGTGATGGAGCAGGGTGATCCTATGACAGTATAGTACTGCCATACCCCACTATTCTAATGGATGAATTATAACACACTGTATTCTTGGCCGGTGCTGGGTATGCTTGGATTGTGGCTATTCTCGCAAGTGCCATAGATTATATATCAAAGGTCACATCATCACATCATTCAGGAATTTCACCCATGTAAAACTGCAAAATGCTCTTCAGTAACTTGAAGTCGTGGTACTATCGTTACTTGAGAACCCAAGCTGAAAATTCTCCTGGAGTATCGGCAATACACACGCCATGCTCTGTTCTCTGAGGGCACCGAAAACGTTCATATTCGAGATGCAGATCTAAGCGAAGTCAAGCACAATGTTTTGGGACAGAGAATCCAAACCCACTGCTCTAGATGGCGCTCGATTCGACTGCTCGTATTTTAATTTTGATCTTTATCTTATTCTCGTCCATAGTATTCGTCACTTTTCCGAACCTCTATACCATGACATGTATCCGCTTCACATCCATCATCTGGAGGAGATCGGAAGTCTTTAACCACCCAAAGCAAATTATTGATTGGCTACGAGCACTACATAGGTATACTCCGTGAATAACCAAGCACATACGACCACAGGGTGTGGAAAACAGGGCTTCCCGTCCGCTCAGCCGTACTTAAGCCACACGCCGGGAGGTTAGTAGTTGGGTGGGTGACCACCAGCGAATCCCTTCTGTTGTATGTTTTTTATTTTTTTTCTATGCTATCATGTCATTCAGTAGACAGTTTACAGACCAAAAAGTTCCTTGTGATTTGTAGAAGACGCAAAAATAAAGCAGATCGCGGAGAGAATTGTACGCGATGTTCCGAATTATATGTTCCGTTTCCGAAGACGGAGTTGGTCGGGTCGGTTGGATAGTTTGTATTGTCGATCATGTAATGTAAAGACATGGAATCCCTTATTAACGTTAGTTTTGTCATTTTAGACATGAGCTCTGAAGGGGAGTCCCATACTCGGGATATTGAGACATTCACCCAGCAAGGCAGCGTCAGCTGATCCTTCGCCTCTTCTTCCTGCGTGGTCTTTCACCACCTCTTCCAGCCATTCAACCAAACCTCTTGAAATCCAGATAGATCCAATCCATTTGCTCATATCTTGACATCATCTGTTTCCTCCACACTACACGGGTTTCGCCTGTTTAGTTGCGCCAACTGACCATAACAAGTAACCACACACCGCGTCATAAATGATCCGGATATTAACGAGACACTGAAGGACTTATCTGCTACTTGCGGACCATTTGAACAGATGCCGGCTCAAGAAGGCACACTTGATGGGGAAAGAGTATTCAACTACTTGCTTGGGCAGGTGGAATGTGACGGTGTAGGCCCGGTCTTTGTGGGGAGATGTGTGTCAGTCATCCGTCCCCATGTCAGTGGATTCAGAAAAGCGAGCCACCCAGTCTCGGCCTCGATCTGAAGCACGGTCTGCGTGTTAGGGCCCGGTCCCCTTCTTCCATTCTTGTGCTGTTTCCTCGTCCGTCTCGTCCTGCAATCGGCTCGCTGCCGCTATAGCAGAGCTCATGACTCATGCCTTATTCGTCGATGGCAAGATATGAAATATAGAAAGCGAAACCAGTCTAGACAGTTTCGCTCGACTTTCGGCGGTATGTCTCTCGCACTGGACAGCCCTCATAGGCATGCACCTCCCACGCGCCGATTCCACTCTCCAAAGGTCGCTTATTCTTCCCTTTTCCGTCTCTGAGTAGATTTTCCGGCCTGTAGTCTTGATTGGCCTTCATGCGGCGAATGACTGAGCCATGAACTTTAGCTCCCTTTGGAAGGTCACGTTTCTCCCCAAGAGGAAGAGGCCACCGAACAGGTTTCCAAGATCCATCGGGTTGCAATGCCAATCTCCGAAACGGAAGATACTCGACAACTTTCCACGTTAAAGCGGTGGGCCACGAGACACCTTGGCCATACTGTAGGAAGTCGTGTACATGTCCGGTTGTAGTTGCCCTTCGGAGTGCGGATTTGAAGTCGAATTCGTTCCCTTTCTCACCTGCATGATCTCCATTTATTTGAACCCCGGTGCTTGACTCCGGATGGCCCGGAAGATTTCTATAGCCAGCTGGGTCATCGAGGCAATGAAAGAGCTTCATCTTTTCGCGATCGAATTGAAGCCCCGCACGCTGCGCCTCCTGTACCATCCACACTAATGGCACATGGCTCAGTGCTATGGCTTCATCGTCATCCATTCTTAATCCGCCGCCAATATCCGAATGACATCCGGCGAACCACACCTCCTCGATGTCCTGACCCTGACACGTGTTCTGGCTTTCGTCACGGAGACCATCCTTAGCTTCGGAGAGCGCATTAGCGGGGGCTGGTCGATAGAACGCCTCGCCTGTGCAACGCCCCTGTTGCTCTGGCTGGTCCTGCTTCTTGCGCCGGGTCGACGGCCTGTTAGGATTGCAATCTGAAATCAGATCCTGTCGAAACTTGGCACGATGCTCATCGATAGAAACGGCATGCCGAATTACCCTAGCCGAGGTTTTCGCCGTAAACGGAAACAGGAATTTATTGCGATTCACCTCAAACCGTGGAATGCTGTTGACGGTGTCAAATAATCCGAGAAAGCGAATCTGCGATACCGGACGACAGAAAGTCTCTCGTAAGGCTTTCATGTACTTATATAACTCATCTTTTTCGGTCTGGCCAGTATCGACGCTGTTGGTACATTTTGCCCATTTCGAGAAGGTCGTCCAGACGTAGCGCACTTTCCCTTCATTTCCTGGCTCTAGCAGGCCAACGTGGTCTATCATTTCCGCAAGCATGCGAGCAACATACGCTCCACGGCTAAAACCAAATATGTATATAGCATCTCCGGGGCTGTAAAAGCGCATGAGAAATCTATAACCGTCAATGACATGTTCTTCAAATGTCGTGCCTGCCGCGGAGTCCTTCATATTCGTAAACCATCTCTTCAGGCGATTAGTGCTGGCTTTACTGGCTTGCCAGATCGAGGTGGTATGCGTCCCAAACCCCGGCTGATAAAAATGCCATTGACGAGGGTCATGGCGGTTCAGCATCTTCGATTAATGTGAGTGTAGCCTGACAAAAGTGGCTCATGATTTAACTACTCACTCTGTAAATCTTGAGGACATTACTGTCTGATTCGTCTCCGCGGAATTTATATCCAGTTCCATCGAAACAGAGAACAAACTCTCTGTTGTCTGCCGCAGTCCGCTCCATGCTAGGTGTTGCTTCTGAATTCTGAACAGTTGCACCACCTCATCGAATGCTCAGTGGCACTTCCTTTTTTTAAAGCTTTGAAAAGGGATGTTGTCAATGTAGAGTAGACCCACGGGTAACTTGTGGCGAAACTTACCCGTCATTAAATCTAATGTCCAGAGCTTCGCATTTTTCAACCCTGTCTTATGCATGTGCTGTGGCCCAGGAACACCATGTACACTATAACACAATATAATAAAGGGCCTGACGATTCGATTGCCTTTTGTCAAAAATTTCCGAAGATATACACATATCGGCCAGTTCCGGTCTCGGAAGTGTCGGTGCGAAATACGAGAGCAAAAGATTGGTTGATGATGTCTAAATGACCACAACACTCCTTCCAAGCAAACTCAAAAATGTATGCTTCTGGCACATTTGTTCTAGAACAAAGTTTCGCGCAATCCCAGGTGAAGAGAAAGCCCACAAATATAATTTTGAGTTTATTCCCGAATACTGAAAAGGTTAATTGTCGATCTCGTAAAAATTAATAATGCTTATGTCTCTCATCATTGGTCATCTGCAAGCTTGGGCTCCATTAAGCTCCTGCGGAGCTTTGCTTTCCCCTCAGACCTCTGAGGTCATTTTGCACCTTTGCTACTCAGAGCAACATTATAAGTAGTAAGCTAAATAGATAAAATAAATACTGAGAACATTGACAGTTTCTGTCGCCACGCCTAACTTATACCTTGCGAATTGCCATCATCAAGGCACCATGTCGCCACTGAACGAAGCCGCCTGGATTTTGAAGCCAAAAAGTGATCTAAAGCGATTCACCGCGGCCTACAATGTTCCATCCTTTGATGAGATTGTGATCGAGGTACGTCAACACTTTGCCTGAAAACAAACTGGAGAAGTCGTGTAACTGAAAAGTGTGATAGAACCATGCTGTTGCCATACAACCCCTCGATGCCAATATCCGGGCCCAAGCATACGTTGATGTGCCCTACCCATTCATCTTGGGCAATGGAGTTGCGGGAAATGTCCATGAAGTCGGATCATCAGTCACTAAATTCAAAAAAGGCGACCGCGTCGTGTCCGATACGCCTACTTACCAGCTAAAAGAAACGAAGTACGGGGGCTGGCAGAAATACGTGGTGACTAGAGAAGCCACGACCGCGAAGATACCAGCAAGCACGACTTTTGAGGATGCCGCTGCAATACCTTTTGCACTTTTAACAGCTGTTTCTGCGTTGCACTTGCACCTGGGTATGGGGAAGCCTGGAACAAATAGCAAGGGGAAAGCACTTATATGGAGTGGTAGTGGATCTGTGGGGGGCTACGCTGTTCAATATGCGGCCAGTGTGAGCATGACATAGCTCGATGGAATTATTCGGTGGGAAGCTAACATGGCTTTCTAGGTCGGTTGCGAAGTCATAGCAACGGCATCCCCGCGAAAGTTCGATTATGTTCGTGGCCTTGGAGCCTCCACTGTTCTCGACTACAAGGATGATGAGATCGTATCAAAACTAAAGAGTCTCGGGCCCTTTGACTATATCTTCACGGCTTCGGGTGATGCAAAAAGTGCAAATGCTATAAGTGACATGCTGCAACCAAACGGTGGGAGATTTGCATCTGTCCGTGCGCAGGGTAAAGAGATAAACCTGGCCCAAAATGTCGATTTAATTTACGACTTCTTCAGCATGACTACCCAGAAGGAGAAATATGGTGATTTTACGGAATGGTGGTATCGTGAGTATCTTCCCGGGGCACTGGGCGGAAATGTGACCCCCACACCTTTGGAAAAGCGAGCTGGTGGGTTGAACAGCATCCAGGAGGCTTGTACCGACGTTTTGGAAGGGCGCAGCCCGAAAAAGCTGGTTCTAAACCCCCAGGATCCTGATAAATGAGCTGTAATAGTTATACAAAGCGAGTATGATGCCGAGCGACGTTTGAGATCATATAGTATAGTTTTGAACATCGGAATGCTCGATTGTCTCGCTTCGTATGCTCGCTTATCTGTGTTCTATGTTCTACCCTACACTTCTTCCTTTGTCCCTCATGTTAGGATCTTGTCTGGTAGCGCGAAAACACCAATGCCCTCACCTCAACGCTAACCCTAGAACACGGGCTTTCCACTGTATTCAGAGGACTGAATGAAGTATGAGGAGTATCTGCAGCAAGTTCCGTTAGTCAATGTACACCCGACGCCTTTCCAAACCCACCGGCTTGACAGTAATATGGACTGTTGAAAGACAGCCGAGCAGGGTAATTGACCACTCACATTTCACACTATCTTCCTTTGTGTCAAACCCTTTGAACAGAAGCACATCTTCCACATCCTGGCCACTCATATAATACCATTTATGTGCATCGCTTGGCTCATATTGTGGATAGAGCATAGTGCCGGTATAGTTCCCGCGTATCATATCGGACTCAATCAACTTGGATGTGTCCAAGGTTCGTCCATCACATACTGCAATGGGGTTATCCTCGATCGGCCCACTTATTGGTCGCCAGAGTCTGATTATATGTCAGTTACACTTGCAATCACTAATCTAACCGCCTGGATGGGTCTGGCAAGAGAGGAGGATAACCTAGCAACTCACATGATCAGCTGGACTCGCCCAGAAAGAAGGTGTTGAGATTCTTCCGGAAGATGATTGCGTATACGCTCCATTAAAGTAGTCCCAATCTCATCTCGAGTCAGAAGTGTGTCTTATCATGTCAGCACATACATTTTTCTGACTCTCACCGCCTGATGTACTGTAGCTTACCTATATGAACCTGTCGCGCAAACCCCTGCAAATTCGGGTTTCGCGTCCTTTTCTCCTTTGCGCTCTTTTTCTTTCTGATCTGTCGAAAGTAGGAGCTTAGTGGTTGGCACATAAGATGATTGTGTTACAGCGCACTTTCCAATCAAAAATCATAACTTCAGCAGCCCCGTTAACGTGTTCCTTCAGAATGGCTTCGCATTCTGGCAAGAAGATATCGTTGACCTTCTGAGGATCTGAGTACTCATAAGACTTTGTAAGAGTCGGTGCGAGGCATCTCTTGTAGACGAAACCGTTGGTATCAAGATCGAACAGAGGAGTTTCAGTCCGTCCTCTAATATCTCGAATAATCTCGGGATGATCAGCCTCATGAAAGACTAAATTAGTCGTCTTTTCGCGATCGATGTTGCGCTTTCTTCGTCCAGCAAATACACCAATTTTATAAGGGCGTGTATGGGTGTAGCTGGGTTGCCATTGGAGGTATGCCAGTCTCGCTTGAACATCCCTAGCCATGATATTATAGACCAAATTCGGTCAGGTATCAGAAAGAAAACAGAAAAAAAAATCATAAAATTATGTACGAACTTAGTACATATTTCACTGGCCCAAAAATACTCATTTTATTTCTACTTAAGTAACTTTCTGGTTTGGCCCCTGCATACAGCCTCGAATTACTGTGGAGCAGTTCCAACAGACGAGCTAGCCTGATCTGCACCCCGATCATTATGAACTAGATAGCGCAATGACTCACTGAAGGTGCCAAGAATCTCTCACAGCCTTAAAGGAGTCATCTCACCCAATTTCAGAAGCTGCGCTAACCGCCAAGGCTAAGATACTTGCCCAATGGCGGGAGGTAGTCTATAATTGTATGTTAGAGAGTGGGTCTCTTGCTTGGGAAAAGGTAAAATTATAATCCATTTTGTCGCATTGAACCCCCTTTCGCTCATTCCACCAACACCATGCGGATGACTGGTTTATCCAGTCACTATGGCCATCCCTGCAAACTTAATATATTGCTCTTTTAGGAGTCGGTAATGGGTATGTGCGACATTGAAATCCCGCACATGCATCAGGACATGCACGCAGCATTGACTCATGTATTCGGTCATTCATTCATGCGCGAATGCACACCGACCGACAGGATCTTCTAGTTATGGTGGCTGTCTCCTTTCAAATCGCCTCTGATATTGTACCAGAATCAGTTCCGTCTCTGATGGTACCGCGATTAGACATCATACAGCCGTCGGTTCCTGGGCTTGTGCCCATAAGATCATTTCACACCTCCCTTAAGTCCGCAATAGTATTGTTCTACACCGATTTCTGGACATTTAGGGTACTTTTTGGCACCTTCCGGACTATATTATGGCTTGACGGAAAGTATTGCGGAGAAAGTTATAATGAGGTGTATAGTGCAGAGAACATGCTGACAATGCTGAAAATTCGAGAGGATACATCTATTCACCTTCGTTTGCAGCCTCGCTACAACTTCCCCTGAGAAGGACTAAAACCTTCACTAAACGGATAATCAACATACCCCTTCGGTGACATGGGCGTATAAAACGTCGGCCGGTCATACTGATTGAGCGGTAATCCCTCTTTCAATCTGAATGGCAAGTCCGGGTTCGCCAAGAAATGTCTCCCAAAGGCAATGGCGACACGATACCCGGGATGCGCCCGGAGGGCCTCAGTAGCCGTCTGGGCCGTAAACCCGCCCGCGAGGATAATAGCCCCCGTGTCCCCAAACGCCTCATAGAGGAACGACTCGTCCTCCTCTTCAGACTCATGCTCCACCGTCGTTGACCCTGAAATCCGTGGTCTCACCACATGCAAATAAGCCAAGTTCAACTGCGCCAGGCCACGCACAAGATGCGTAAATTGCGGTCGGGGATCAGACATCCGCATGCTCTGGAAGGTACTCCAAGGGCTAATGCGATATCCGGTCCTCTGTGGCCCAATGGCATCCGCAACGGCTTTCGCGATAGCCAGACCGAACCTGGAGCGGTTCTCGACGCTACCGCCCCATTGATCGGTGCGGTTGTTGCTCACGGATTGTGTGAACTGGTCAGGAAGGTAGCCGTTCGCACCGTGGATCTCGACGCCGTCGAACCCAGCGGCGATGGCGTTCTGCGCTGCGCGCACGTAGTCGGCGATGTAGTCTGATATTTCTTCCTCTGTTAATGGGGTTGGTGTGGGACTGGATTCGCTCATGGGGATGTCTCCGCTTGAGACTACGCGGTATCCGCCTTCTTTCTGGAGGACGTCTGGTTTGGCGGCCCTGCCTAGCGCCCAGAGCTGGCAGAAGATGAAGCTTCCTTGGATGTGGACGGCCGAAGTGATGGTCTTCCATTGAGCGATTTGAGCTTCGCTCCAGATCCCGGGGACATGGCCCATGCCGCCGGCGCGGGCGGAGATGAATGTGCCCTCGGTGATGATTAGTGTGCCCGGGACGGAGGCACGCTGCGCATAGTAGTCGCGGGAAATGGGGAGCGGGACATGTTGGGCGTCGGCGCGATTGCGGGTTAGCGGTGCCATTACTACTCGGTGGTGTAGCTCGAGGTCACCGATGCGGATGGGTGAGGTTAATTCGGCCATGATGCGGGGTGCAATTATTCAAGGGATTCGAGGGTTATGTGCGGGAATTACGGTAGTTGTGGTTTGGGGGAGATGGGGGTATAAATACTATATCAGAGTTCGGGGACTTTCAGGTTGTTCATCGCGTATACCTATATTTTAAGGATGGGTCGGAGACTTTTGTATGTTTAACATTAGCCCGAAGAATCTTCATTATTAATTGCTGCTTGGCCATGAAGTCATTGCGGTGCGGGTATCCGCCGGCAGCCGAGGCTTGTTTTGCTTTCTTTGGCTTGTTTGCCTTTCCGAACTCTCCGGAGTGGGTCTTCATCAAGCCTGGCTCATGCATAATGATGGTTTAGTCGATAGTAGTTTGCAATGAGTTTAATCTATGCAAAGGTAATTCAGTTATTCCTTGCATGCGCTAATACATTTCATAGATATGGCAGGGTCGTTGGCTTATTCTTTGGTAACTCCCTTGTTTAGTATTTCAGTGGAGCCATTTAGATTATACCGATACACCAGCTTGTGCCATGCCCTGAACCATGCATAATAGGATCGCTTGATTGGCGTGGACGTGTGTTTAAAGGAGGTGTAGACTTCTCACGAGTACTATGCCATCGCTTAGGAATTGAAAACTCACTTGAGACTCAAAAGCTTTTTCTTTTCTCGTGATCCAATCCTTTCCCCCCTTATATGGTCCTTAAACGTTCCCATAGGAAGAGGTCTAGTATGAAAGGTGCAACTCTTATTAAGTCAGACTTCAGCAGTAATTAAGGCAGGGTCAACAAGCTAGGGAAAAGGTTCAAAACTGGAATACAAGACTTAACCTCTCTACTCAAATCACAAGAAACTCCTCTACAGACTTATGTTCAAGCGCAGCAGAGACGGACTCTCGGAGTGAACGGCCCGCGAGGGCCTAGCCAACTACTTTATAGTACAATTCATCGCCCTTGCTGACCACAGTGTCATCAGGGCAAAGTATGAGTGGGCGGTTCAACTGGAGTGGAATAGTGAAAATGTCCTCATCTTCCACTGCCCCTGGGGTGATTCCAAATAAGTAGAGATTGGAATTATACGCCAAAAAGAGCCTGTGACCTCCAAGATTTTGGACATGTTCAATATAAGACTTCGTGGCACCTTCCCTCTCCCACACCTCCCCCTCGGTAACCGATGGACCCAACTTCGCTATTTTCCATAGAAAAGACCGTATCGTATCGACGTCTTGGTGTTGCGAAGTAACTTGAAAAGCGAGCCATGTGCTGATAAGGTGGTCTTGCATGAGAAGTCTATCACAGAGATGGCTCCACCACTGCTTTAGATTCTTAAAGACCCAAATAAGCTGACTTGCAACCGTGCGTGGATCCGTTGAAAATTGCAGCACGGCCCTGCATTTACCGAATCGCTGAGCACGGAGGTGTAAAATTGAACTATTGTCAGATACTTTGACTGCCATATGGTCTGACCCATTAAGAGATGTCCCAAGTTTTGTATACCCGCGAAGCTCTTGCACTGCATCTATTAGAGGGACTTTCCGGTAAGACGTTATGAATTGTGCGGGGCCTTGGCGATAATCAGGCACCCAGGAAGGGAGTTGAGTATTCCATGCATTGTGTGCAGCAAAAGGAACTAATGTGAAAAGCAGGCAGTCCTCCTGACTGATCATCCAAATCGTCGTTTCCAGCGCAATTTGCTCATATGTTTTATTATAATCTGGAGGGAAAGCCTTCTGGAGGTCCTGGATGACACCATAAAGGGCGTAAATTCTGTCCTTTGGATTCTGACATTTCCGATGATATGTTTTCCTGAAATGATGCCCCGGGGTTTCCTTCTTTTCGAACCCCCTATTTTGTCTAAGGGAGGAGACTTCTTCGTAGGTGCAGATTTCGCTGAATGCTTCGCTGGCCGCATCCCACACCCACTTCAAACTTGTCACCTCGTCTGACGGTATGTAATCATCACACGATATTCTGGGGTCCATGCGCTTCATTATCGAGTCTTTGGCAGGATCTGCTAGCATTGTCGACACTTTGAACGTCAGACTTCCGCAGACAGCAAGTGGCGTATTCATGGGCAGCAGATATTCTTGGTATGTCCACATTCGAAACCAGTAAGGCCTAGTCATGATCTGGATCATGCCTTGTAAGGTATCGCATTCCGCATGGACCCTGTTTACTCTAGCCTTATCAGAAAAGGCTCTCGCTACATCGAGCCGCCACCAGTGTAAGGCCCGTTTGGTCAATCTCTTCTCTATGTATCTTTCTGTCCATGCTACCGCCAGCTCTATCTCCGGGGTGGCATCTCCCAGCATGGCGACTACGCGAGCCGCTGAGGTGTAAATCGTGGCCATCAAGGGTACTTGGGTATTCTTTTCGTCAATGTCGCACTGGTTGATGCAAATAGCATCGACCCATATATCCCGACGCCTGAATGTACGTCGAAGTTCGTAAAGAGCGTTGGCGACGTTGGGCTTTACATAGAACTCCTTACCATCGAGAACTATCTGCTCGGTGGCATCTTGCGTTCCCCAAACATATGAAAGGGCTTCGAACTTGGGAGAATCATTGAGTGACACGGCATGGAGGGAACACTGGATCGGATTCCTTTTGTTTCTTGAGGGATGAATAGAGAGCAGTCGGATTTGTCGTTGGTTTGGATCCAGTTTGTGGTATTGGAAGCTCATTTTGTAGAACCCCCAGTAGTAGAAGTGGGTAATTCTTTGTGCTCTTGAGAGTCTATATGGTCACGGCGACAGAAATGTGAGGAAGTTAAAATCGAGGTCGGTGGTTATTATTAGGACGATCGTGCACTGTGGGCTGGAAAAAAGCAAATATGAAGCTAGCGGTACTACAGCTCTAACTCAGGTAGCTTTGAACTGTACTAGTGCTCAGCTCGTTGGGGGAGCAGCCCCTCATGTGTGCTGACGTGGCATGAATCCGGCATTCTTCTATCTACCTTGACAGTCTTTGTCAAGCAACTTGTGATAGTCTGATGATATTTCTCAGGTCCAGAAGAATCCATATTAATCACAGAATTAGTTACAGCATTGCTATCAGCCTTGAAACTTACCTTACCCTCATGTTCATCCTCAGTTTCCAAAGGAACACCCACACAACATCATGAAAAGAAGATTTCCACGCCATTTGCCTAATTACGAGCGTTCTCCCTCAACTCCAACTGCTGCTCAATAACATCTTTAATGATTTGTTCCTCCGACCTCCACTTCATACCCAGTATGCGATCAGCAGCAGTGGTATCCAGCGCCCAATCCCCCTCGAAAGGCGGTTCCAGCTTACACTCCACATCTGGATACTTTTCTTTAACAAATTTCGCCGCATGCTCCCAGGACACAGACGGTCTGGATAAAATAAACTCTGTTCCACTCTGGACATCTTTCTCCAGCACTTTGATGTGTGCATCCGCGACATCGTGAACATGCACCCAAGCATTGGCAATTTGAGTTTGGCCTGAGGTAATTGACAACCAGAAGAGCGCGTTCATGCCACTAAGCTCGCCCGGGATCTTCTGAACCATACTAGGTCCCAGGACGTATGTCGGGTGGAGTGTAATCAGGTTATAATGAGGACTATTGTTCTTCAAAAATGACCGTGTCGCTTGGTGCGCAAGGATCTTCGAAGCAGCGTACTTGAGTGCGTGGCCTTGAGAATCTTCCGGGAAAGACATGTTCATGTCGACGGGGATAATTTCCCCAGTGTTGTCTGCTATGCGTTAGTTATCATTCAAGTTGGGTATCTTTTATGGTACTCACCCTTTATCGAGATATCCTTGGTAAGCAAAGCAGTCACAGGAGCCAGCGAAAGCACAGAAGACATGACGATAACTTTCTTGATTTGAGTAAACTCCAAAGCAGCATATAGAATGGCCTCGGTGCCTCTGACGGCCGGCTCAACGTAGTCCTGCTTGAAGTCGTTTCCTCCGCCGGGGATCGGAGAGGCAAGGTGGAAAACATAATCTACACCTTTAAAAGCATTCTTGAACGATTCCCGCTGAGAGATGTCGGGAACAATGCATGTTTCGATTTTGTCGCCATATCCAGGATGGAGCTCTCTCAATGTGGCCTCCTGCTCTGCTCTGCGGATACTCAGACGTACGCGGTAGCCGGCTTTGAGTGTAGTAGCGACGACCTGCGAACCGATGAAGCCGGTTGCACCGGTCACGAAGATAAGAGGTGTAGTCATTTTGATGATTGCAGTAGATCGTGATTCACTGAGTTAACGGCCATCTTCTATCATCACAGTCCAGCTCCTAATATATACCTCGCAAGTGCATAGTAGGCTGCTGGTGGAAGTTGCCGGGAGTTGTGGCCAGTTATATAACAGTTCCTAATAATTACTGACTAAAATAAATCATAAGTATTCTGTTATACTATATATAATAATTATACTAGTATTTATATATTACTTTAAAACTATATTCAAGAAAATAATAAGAGATCAACTGTTTAAAGCTTATTTTATAATTATTTATTATTATTAAAAGTCTATTACTTTTTTATCTCTAATCTATCTATAAAAAATTATATTATTATTTCTTTTTTATACTAACTAAGTTTTTTATAGATTATTTATTATTACCTTATTATTAATTTACTGTTACTTTATTTTTTTTTTATATATATTATATTTTTCTTTTTTTTTACTTTTTTATTTTTTTTTTTTATATTTTTTTTTTTTTTTTTTTTTTCTTTTTTTTTTTTTTTTTTTTTTTTTTTTTTTTTTTTTTTTTTTTTTTTTTTTTTTTTTTCTTTTTTTTTTTTTTTTTTTATATTATTTTCTTATTTTTTTTTTTCTCTCTTTTTTATTTATTTTATTTTTTTTTTATTTATTTTTTTTATTTCTGTCTTCTCCTCCTGTATTAAAATAAAATAACTGAAGTAATAATAAATTAAATTAAAAATAAATTAGAAAACTTTTATAAATAATATAAAAAGACAGTATTAATATAAAAGAAATAAATAATAAAAATAATATAAAATTCTTTTTAGTAAATAATAATATAATAGAGATAATTATAGTAGAGATAACTATAATATAAAAATTAATTAAAAAAAATAAAAAGAAATTATAGGAATTACTAAAATTTAATTTTAAAAATAATTGGAAAGATTAATTATTATTTAACTTAATTAAATCTTACTAGCTTAAATTTTAAGATTATATAATAAAAAATCTAATTAATAATTAGAAATAGAAAACTAGGCTTACCTGGATTTAAAAGCTTTAAATTAAAGAAAAAATATAAGATATTATTAAATATAGTTATTAATATATTAATAAAATAAAATAAAATCTTAATAAATATCTTATTTATTTCTTATATAATATAAGATCAGAAAATATATAGAAATTAAAAAAAATATTTTATCAGAGAAACCTTCCTAAAAATATTATAAATATAATAATATAAACTTTGAAGAATATTCTGATATAAATATATAATTTATTATAAATTAATAAATTAAGTAGCAGTAAAGTTATTTTTAGAATAATCTTATTAAATAAGAATTTAAAAATATTTTATAAAAAATTTTTATAGCTGATTCCAGTAATTAAAATAATAAAATCAAAATCTACTAAAATATATAAAATTAAAATATAATAAATAATTAAAATAAAAATTAATTTTACAGCTAAAAGCAAGTCAGATATAAAAGAAATTCTAAAACTAATATTAAATAAAGAATTCTTATTATTATTATTTATTATTAATAATAAGTCTTTAAATCTATTAAAAATATAATAATTATAAATCTTAGTTTAGAAGCATAAGCTATTAAATAATTAATAAAAATTAATTCTTAAATACTAATCAGAGATATTTAATTTTAAAGATCTATTTTAAATCTATATTTATATAAAAGCTATTCTATAATTATTAAAATCTTAAATTATAGCTCAGGCAGAGGAGATAATTATAATTATTAAAAATATTAAAAATAATAATAATATTGAAACTACTAAAAATATTAAAATTAATAAAAATAATAAAACTATACTAAGAAAATCCAAGTATATAAAAAAAAAGATAAATATTTTAAAAATATTTAATAATTATATATTTAAATTAAATATATATTAAATTATAGAAAATCTATAATAATCTTTTAACAGCAGTACAGATTTAAATAATTTATTTATATAATTAATATTAAAAAATTATAAAAGAATCTTAATATATAAAAAGTAGCTGGATATCTAAAAATATTAATTTAATAATTATAAAAAGATCTGCAGAAATCTATATATTAAAAATCTAATAAATTTTTATATAAAAAGAATATTACATGATCAGGAACTGAAATTCTAATAATTTATATATATTAATTATATTATTAAAATTATATAATTTAATTAACTACATGGAGCAATCATTGCGGATATTATTAATATTAAAAAAATTTAAAAAATTATTATATTTCTTTTATATATAAATATTCTTTTAGAAATATATAAAAGACTTTTATAGCTGATATAATATAGTAACTAAATAAATTTAAGTATAAATTTATTATAATTAAAAAAGATAGATTAAACTTTCTAAAGAATTATTCTATAATTATTATTATTTTATTCCATCTTATTAAGTAGTAGATAAATAAGATTATATTAATAATTAAAGAATTCTAGATACTGCTTTATTATGGTAATATATATTATTAAACTAGAAATTATATTAAAAATAAATTAATAAAAAAGTATAAAATCTTTAAAGACAGGCTGGTAAATATATATATTATTATAATAATTTTTTATTAAATATAAAAAGCCCGCCACGGCTTCCAAGCAGTAAAAGCTTAATATATTAATAAAAAAAAATTATATAATTTAACTAATTTTTATATATCTACAGATTTTTCAAGTAATCTGGAGGAATATTTTAAAATTATTATATTTAATAAAATTTATTTATTATATAATAAAGAATTAGATATTTTATTTACTTATACTTAATTATATATTAAATTCCATGTTCTATTAATAATTATATTTTTTTATAATAATATATATAATTTTCTAAAATATATAAGACTTTTTTTATTTTTAAATTCTAATATAAAAATAATATTTACCAGCAGCTGTATACAGCAGATTATAAATATTATTTTAAAAATATAAAATAATTAATTACTTTACAGCTAAAAATTTATAATAAAATATATTCTTAATAAGAAAGTATAAGATACTAATACTATTTCATATTAATTAAAAAAATTATTTTAATATTTTATAATTTAATATATACAGAGCTCTGTACTACTAATTAAGTTAAATAATAAAATTAAAATAAATATTTTTTTTATATTTAAAAAAATACTATATTTAAATTTTAAATTAAAAAAATTTATAATATACTAGACTTACAAAATCATGAATCATAAAAATATTTTTATTATTAATTAAAAAAAGTTAAGTTATACCTACTAATATATAAACTATTTTTATAAACTAATTCTAGATTTATTATAATTAGATTTTATAAATATAAAAAATAATTTATTTATTTTTATTATTATAAAATCACTCAGTACTATCAGATAATATAAATAAATAATTTATATATATCTAAGTCTGGAGACAAAGACTGCAGTAAAAAAGAATTTTATAAAAAATTTTTATATATAAATAAAAAAATATTATTCTACTAATATCTTATTTAATAATA